AATATGATATAATTCTTAAATTAACAATTAACTATTTTAAGAAATTTCAATAATTAAATAAGCGATACCCAAACTTAATATCTTCACGTTTAAGCGATTTCTACAGTCTCTTTAATCTCTTAAACTAATTTCTTTTTCATTTACTCAATTTCATAGCTTATTATACCTAACCCCTTCATTAAAATTAAATTTAATATAACAACCTAACTAATATCGAATCAAACAAAACTATAAAATAAGAAACTTTTACTTACCTTTCGAAATTGAAGAATTCAAGCCTTATAGTATAGACTACTTACTTCCTAACCCGTTGCCAAAATTTTTCTATTTTCTTCCTCTTCTCCTTCCTCTTTTTTTTTTTTTTTTTTTTAATTATTATATTGTTTTGACTTTTCAAAGGCAACCCAAAATTGCAAGGAAGTCCCTCAAATTAATTATAACCTTCAAGTAAATCCTCAACTTCCAAAAAATATAAATAAATCCCAAAATTTTTATTTTGTCCAACTTAACCTTCAAAATATTTATAATTGATAAAATAAACCCAAATAAAATAATTTGGTCAATTAAGCCCCAATCAAAATGATTTATTTCATATAAGTCCTCATTTGACTTGACTTTGAAAATTCAACTATTGAATTTGACTAGATAAAAATGTGGGTTGTAACAATATCGACATTTCCCTTGTAAACTATTTACAAAACCTTATGGGTTTTATTCCATCAGGAGGCTTAACCAAGGTCCGAACCTTGTTCACATACGTCCAGTTCATCTCAAGTATCATGACCTCATGCTGTCTCTTTTAAGCCAACACTTGACTTTATTTTGTTGCAACTAGCAGGTTCATTACCCTGGATCACTAATACCTGATTAATGATCATGAATTCGCACCTTCTTGAAGGTCAAATGATCCTACTAGATTCACATAGAGCTATCATGTCCTCAGGAGTCTTTACTTCCTGATCCAAAGTATGTCACACATCAGATATGGGATCAAACTCAGATTTATCTACTTGGTTAACTATATCTGTGGACTCTTGAACTCTTTCAAATTCTATTTTACTCCCACTGTCCTCTCCTAGAGTAAACATTTTCTTTAAGAAGATGATATGTCGTGAGACGAATACTTTCTTCATGATAATAGAATTTATATTCAAATGTCTCTTTTGAATATCCCACAAATGCGTATTTATCAGATTTAGTGTCAAACTTATCTGATTCAAGGCGCTTCAAATAAGTGTCATAGCCCCAAGCTTTCATATAAGATAAATTGGGACTATTGCCTTTCCATAACTCGTATGGAGTTCTGTTAACCAATTTAGATGGGACATGGTTTAGTGTGTTGTACACTGCAATCAATGCATGACCTCAAAACAATTTTGGGAGATTTGCATGGCTTGTTAGTAATCGCATCATATCTAATAATTAACGATTCCTCCTTTTAGATACACCACCTTGCTGCAGTGTATATGAAGGAGTCCACTGCAAGAGAATCTCATTTTCTCTTAGATAATCTAAATTTTATCTTTAAAATACTCTCATTTGATCGAATCTTAATGTGAGGGAATCTTTACCTATTTGTTTCTCTACTTCTAATTTGAATCCCTTGAACTTTTCAAGAGTTTCATGTTTGAGTTTTTTATCAAGTATCCATGATCATTGATGAAATAAGAGAAACATTACCTGACATTGATTGACATGAATCCATATGCATCACTATGCATTAGACCAGTAATTATGCTGACCTTTCTTCTTTTCAAGTAAAAGAAGATTTGGTCATTGTGCCAGACATGCATAATTTGTACTTGTCAAAATCAATTAATCCCAAGTATACATCTTTATGTAACTTTGGAATTATATTTCATCTAAATGACAAAGTCTGTCATGCCAAATTTTGGTAATAATTAGATTATAGTATTTACACCTTATAATTTCTATACTCATTATAGAATCTTTAGTATTAAAGAATATAAATGTCGTTTTATAATTTACCATAGCCATTAGGATCTTATTAAGATAAACAAGAACAACTATTGTCCTTAACATTAAAATAGTTCATGTCTGAACATGAAATTCATTTTAATATTCCAGCTATGGTTGGTATAAAGCAACATTTCTCTAATTCCATTACTAAGTCAAAGGGCAACGGAAAGAAGTATGCTTCTATAGGCAATGCAGCAACATTTGCTCATCTCCATCATGTAGGTTAACTTCTTCCTTTCGCAGTAGTATACTTCTAGTTAGTTTTTCCATATTTGTATAAATATGGGATTTACATCTGGTATCAGATACCTAAAAAACTTGTGAAGTAGACGTAAGCCATACAATATTCCTTCTAATGACCTTTCATTCTATAATGAAACCAATGGTCATTATATTTGGTATTGTCCTTTGCTTACACTGTCTTGACCATATTGGACGCTTTCACAAAGCCCCTTCCTCTTAATATTTTTAGAGGAATCAATGACTTGCCCACTACTAACTTCGACGTTGGGCTTAACAGTCTTAAGCATATTAAGCAACTCAATAATTGTGCATTCAAACTTATTCACGTTAAATTCATAATTAGTTATGAATAGCTTTCTCTGACATAGATTGCAGAACCAAGTCACTACTTAGTTCATGGTTTGTAATTGAACTCAATTGAGACATTTCTCAACGTCAATCATCTTCAATGTCTAAGTATCGATTGAAGATTACTCTGTCATTTTGCACCCGTATAGTTGTTCGGAAGTCTCATATCCATCCACACACGATTATTATCATACAACCCTTTGTAATGAAGGATTATGTGTCAACATATATACTCTCAAGTCGCTTTTGTAACTCAGTGACATAGTTGCAAGTGTCACATACGTTGCAGTACAATTATCATCACTGTGTTTACTATAGTAGCCACCTCTTCTTTAATTGAGTCATCACCAGGTGTCTCTGGAAATGGCTACTCAAGGATGTGACCAATTTTCTCATGCATAAGAACAATTCTCAAATTGCAGTATCAATTAAGAAAATATAGTTTGGTTGTTGGCATCTAGTATGCCATTCAAAACATATGGTTACTCAGATTCAATAAATATAAATGACAAAAAGGAAAGAATAATATATAAAATGCATCAATTAATTTAATATGGTCTTTTATTAAATTAATTATGCTCCCACTATTTAAATAAAATTTATGACCCTCTCACATAAATTTATGGAGTCCATGCTTGACTCCCAGTGGGCTGAGATCCCATCTATTATATTAAGACCTTGAGTGTACTCAACAAGCCCTAATATAATATTTGGGTAGATACTATTATCAATTGTATCTCCATACAACTCCTAGATCATTAAGCTGACAACTCTTTGTTTTCACACATCTTATGTGTTAGCTTAAAATGCCTCTAAAATTTATCTCCTTGAGTGTACTCAACAAAAGATAAATTTTAGTTAAGTCAACCCCATCATTCAGAAATATCAAATATTTCATAGTGTCAAACATATCCCTAATGGACCAGCACTGAGTGTACTCAACAAGCTGAGACGATTTGGAACTCTGATTTTTCACTTTAATGATGGAAGGCGATTACATATATGACTTAATATTTTATGGAGGGATTTTGCATTCATGAGTCTCATCAACAACAATACAATCATATATATATTATTATTATTATAATAATGGACTCGCAAGTCCAAAATAATAACAATAATAACGGGCTCGCATGCCCAAAACAATTAAGAGCTCGTAGGCCCATAAAACGACAAAAATAAAAATTAACCATTCAATACATCTATAGGGTCGAGTCCATAATCGTCCACTAATAATACATTCATAACATAAATGTATACCTATATAATATCTAATATTATATGCAAATAAGTTTCAAGTTTCTAGCAATTAAGTCGTTTAAACTCCTTTAGACAAAAGAATCGGAACAATTAAATAATTAATTAATCATATTAATCTATTATTTAATTAGCGGGCATATTTAATTAAAATCTAATTTCAATTAAATAGAAAATTAGAGTCCAACTCTAATTCAACAATTATATAGCGGGATTATTCAATTAAAATCAAATTTTAATTAAAAATCAAATTAGAGTCAAACTCTAATTTCACAATTTAAGGCGGTAAAATTTAATTAAAATCAAATTTTAATTAAATAACAAAATTAGAGTCTAACTCTAATTCCAATAATTAAGGGCGAATTAATTTAATTAAAATCAAAATTTTAATTAAATACCAAATTAGAGTCTAGCTCTAATTCCAAGAAGAAATTTAGGGCGAGACAATTTAATTAAAATCAAATTTTAATTAAATGTGAAATTAGAATCCAATTCTAATTACAAGAATATATTCGGGTGAAAAACCAACTAAAATCAAATTTTAATTAAGTATTAAATTAAAGTTAAACTTTAATTTAAATTGAATGAATATTTTAATATAGGATAACACTCCTAAATAAAATAAAAATTCAATTGGGTCAAAGTTTAATATTTAAGTCAAAATCCAATTTTAACGAAAATATAAAATATCGTCAATTTTAAATAAAATTTTAATTTGGGCCAAAATTAAAATTATAGGACAAATCCATTTGAAATTCAAATTTAAATCCATTTTTAATATCTAAATCCAAAACAACTTTTGAAAACATCAATTTGAACCAAGTTTAAACTTAACTGAAGGGCCGGAAATTTGAAGATTGCACAGCAACCCTCAATTATAAAATTGCAAAATGACCCCTCTTACATAATTCACAAACTAACCCATATTCTATAATTGCAGGCAGGGTCCTCAATATTAGCCTTTTGCAAAATAACCCTCATTTTAGAATTTTAACAAATGGGCCCCTAATATCATATTGCATCCGGGCCCCCACAATTACATTAATTGCAGAGAAAACCCCCGTCTCCACCTAGTCACCCGAATTGCAGAAACCCTAAATTTAAAATCGCCACCGTTGATTTATTTTCAGTGGGGCGGCGCTGGTCCTGCCGGTTGTCCATTGCCCCTTCTCTTAAGCGGCGACAGCCACTGCAGCAGCGCGAAAGCGCTTCTGTAGCGGTAGCACTTTTGCGCTGCTACAGCAGCAACAGACGCCGCTACTGCCGCTGCTACTTTTAGCAGCGGCGTCTGCCGTCGGTATCAGCGCCATCGCCGGCAGCAACTGTTGCTACCGTCATCCCACTTCAATTTAATTTTTTTTTTAAACTCGAATCAAAGCCAGATTTTAATAATAAAAAAAAACTTCTTAATTGCTAGATCCATGAAAAATTATAACAATCAACATTTGATTGTTCAAACACATTAAACAATTTCTAACAAACACAAAGTAGGCTCTGATACCACTGTTAGGAATCTACTTATACATGCACAGCGAAATTTAAAATAATTTTCGATTCCCACCAAAAATCGCCTTTGTGTTTAGATAGAAATGTAATAAGGATTGTACCTTTGAAGAATTCTGTAATTTTTTTGCTTTTCTTTTCGTTCCATCAATCTTGATTCGCCACCACAGCTGTCCAATTGTCCAG